AATCATAACATAAAATACGAGGAGGTTCACGATCAAGCATTCGCCTTCCCACGATCATTTGTGGTACCTGAAACATAATCAAAACTGTAAGCCCAAAGATTAGTGAGTCTTTCGCAAAATACAATCACATAAACATAGCCGGAAACAACATGAAAAAAGAGCCTACAGCGTGACTGGACCACCTCACTGGGCCTTTAGCCTATCTGGACCGCTCTCCGGGCCTTTGATCTGACTGGTCCGCCTCGCAGGCCTTTGGTCTATAGGGACCGTCTTGGATCTGTTGGCCTTCAGCACAAAGCAGGAACGCCTCAACCCAACCCAACCACACACACATGTCGACATATACATGACTCATAAACATATAATCAATCAACAAGCAAGCATAGATCATACTGATCAATAAGCATAGTATCATCATGTCTACTAGGATTCAGATCTAACATATCACTATAGTACTCAATCATACGATAATCAAGATAACAATCCAAAGGGTCGGCCTTGGTGACTTAAACCCTTAAGTATATTGAGGAAAACTCACCTCTCAAATGTCAAGTTGCAATGAATCCCTGACTGCTAAGTCGCGGAAAATCATGAACTATCACAACAAACAAACACCCAATCAACAATTAGGATACTATTCTTGACTAAGGGTCCAAATATAGGGTAATTGTCCATTTTACCTCTTCCCCAATTGGGCCAAGGCCCAAGCCCAAATCTTTGATCCAAAAAGGTCCAGCTTTCTTTAAAGCCTACGATTGACTCAATTTTCTAAATTGGGCCCAAACCCCCTTATTGGGCCTAATATTAAGATTCAATCTTCCAATTAGCCCAAAACACACTTATTCAGAAGGTCCTTTATGGCCTAAGCATCAAACCCAAAACATGGACCAATACCCGAAGCCCAAAGTCTGAAACCCATACAAGGGCGTACACGGGGCATACCCCTTCGATACGCTGAGCATACATCACCTCACATCGACAACCATCGTGGTGGTTCACTTGGTACGCGGGGCGTACATAACTTATGCGGGGCGTACCCTCGCAGATCTTAAAATCTATATAAGTTCTTAATGGATTAAGCACCTAAGCTCAAACATCGGATCCATGACTCAAAAGTACTCTAGAACCATAAAGTCTCAAACTTTAAGAATTTGGTCGTCTAAAAATGGCTTAATGCATGGTCTTAATCCATTAAGACCTCTTAAAAAGAACAAGGGACCAAACTAGCTCAAAGGACCTCATTTTTATGCCTTGGGACCCATCCTAGGGTCTGAAACCAAAATAAAGCATTCATGATATTAGGACTATTCGGACAAGAAGGATACCAAAAAGCAACCAAAACAAGATCTAAATAAGCCAAGCATAAAAGGTAGAAGCTTTATACATTTATAAGCTTCCCAAGAAGATGATAATCCCAGATATACAAGTTGGCTTCCTTCCCTAGCTCATTTGATGTACTATCTTCTCCTATTTGCACACAAAAATCACACTATAAGCTCAAGATGCTCACTATGGTGGTTAGAGCTCTCTCAAAATAGATAAGGGACTTGGAGGCTGAAAGAGTGAGTCAAAATGAACCATAATGGTGCTTAAATACCCTACAAACCCTAAAATCAGGGTTTCATCCTAACATGCGTACGCCCTATGTACATATGTGTATGCCCAGCGTACTAAGGCATGCCCTAGTACGCGAAGCGTACCCATATGTACGCCTAGCGTACATATCAACTTCCATGAATTACCAATTTGCTACTAGGGCTAAATCCATCCAACATCAGGGGCCAAATTAACTTATTAAAATACCAATGAAAAGATTTTAAATTACCTGAAACCCAGGATGTTACACATTCAATATAACAACCTACCATTTTGTATGAAATGTTAAATAAAATAAGTTGTTGCATTAGGTGACATAAAAACCATATAATTTCATATTAAATGATTAAAAAACTATTATATATACTATTAATTGCTAAAATGGTGGTGAACAGGAAACTTTTGCATTTCTCATTTGTGCCCCTTTTTTCCTTCCTTTCCTACTTTCGCCACATACACTTTTGTTTTAAAAGCTTATATTTTTTTATTCATGCCGCCTTAAAATTTGGGTAAGGCTTATCTTTGATTTCGATTTATGTGCCCCATGGGTGTTGCAGATAAAGATATGGAGGGTGGAAGTATTGATAAAATAATGGGAGTTGAAGAAGGACCGGAGCGATTTGGCGGTGGTTGAGATGGAGGTGAAAGAGTATTTGTATGGTCCCCAAATCAGATGTCGAGGAAACGCTGGTGGCAGTGGTCACTGTCGACCGGTCATCGAAAGTTGCCAGACAACTATATGTCGGTAACATCCCTCGCACAACAAACAATTATGAACTCCAGAAGGTTTTTGAAGAACATGGTGTCGTTGAGAAAGTTGAGGTATATCAATCTGGTCAATGGATGGTGGTCAGATTCTTTTCCAATTTCTCAATCGTCTATGCGTATCGAACCCTAACCCTCCTTCTTTCAGTTCATTTTCTTCCTCTTTTTTTGATGTAAATAAATATGGCTTAAAATTTGTGCTTTCATATGTTTTTTGTAGGATTCAAAGAATTATCTCTATCATCTACTACTTTTATCTACCGTTTTCAACAGATATCAGTGAAGCAAGAGGTGTTTTTATTAATTATTTTGTATTTGTTTTTTTTTTTTTTTAATTTTTCTGCTTTCGTTCCATTTTAAGACAATATATGCATCTCCTAGGCTTCTGTTTTAACTTACTTCATTGCATTTCGTGCACCATTGACCTGATTTACCTTTTGTTTACTTTAATTTTCTTTTTGTAGATTAACTATTTACACACAGTTAGTTGTGTAAACTAAGAAAATGATAAAGTACAAAGACTGGAAATCCTCGGAAAATTTGATGGTTGAGAGACAGGGATCATTACTTATGAAGTTGAATCCCCTGATGAAATAGCTGCAAGAGAACTTGGATTCCAATTTTATAAAATGACACAAACGACTGTTTCTTTTTTTCGAGTTGGATCCTATGTCCAAGAAAAAAGTCGAAAGCTAATATTTGTATTTCTTCCTTTTTACCCTTTTGTAAATTTTGGTATCAAATCTTGCAAAAATTCTAAAAAAAATTTGTAAATCAATAATCTTTATATTGTTTATTTGCAGGACATATGAGCTTTTAAATGTTCTTGAGTTCAACAGTGCAAGTAAACGAATGTCTATTATTGGTCATGAGGAATTCAGAAACTATCTTTTACTCAACAAAGGTGCTGATAGGTAGAAAGAAAACTATTCAAAATAAATCAATCTTGATTTCTTTTTGGTTATAGTTATTAACATTGTGATTATTGTTTGTTACAATGTTATGTTTGAAGGATTTGCAAAAAACAGGAGCCAATTTGAAGAAAATGCAAAAGAACGAGTGAATGAGAAGATTTGTCGGAGTTGATGTAACCGGAGCTCAGAAGATTTGGAGAACATTTCAAGCCATCGGTATATCGCATTTGCTTATGTTTATTCTATTGTTGTCATTGAGATTCAAGTAATTTTTTTATTTATGTTATTTTTCATAGATTTAGTTATATATTATTATTAAATATTCATGAAATACCCTTTGCCCACTGGTATGCTGTGCTGTGTATAAATTATAAAATTAGGATTATGATCTGGCGCAACGTAGAGTTATTTGGGGACTTGATTATTGCTTTATTTTATCCAAATTTTATTATTTTCAATAATTATTTAAGTTTTAAAATTTTGTAATTTGAATATATCGAATTCAAAATCATCCATTTGCTTTGTTTTATTGAAACAGTGAACGCTTCGACGACTTTGCATTGGTCTGTATTCTTTAACTTCAAATTTTTATAACTTTTTTATATTTATTCACCAAAAAAGTAAATAATTTTAAAATTTACATTTTCCCACATGATTGATTATCTTTCTTGCTGTCATTTGGGTCCTACAAGAAAAAACCGCAGCCCGCATCTTTCGTTATGTCATTTTGTTTATTGGTATGATTTATAAATATGATCTTATATTAGTCTTCCCATTTTGCCCTTTTTAGGAAATGACAATTTTACCCTTTTATTCACAAGTGTCATGAACAATTTGTTTTCGATTTTTGGTAAATACACATTCTTTACTCATCAAAACTCTCATTTCTAGGTTATTTCTATGGGAACCAAGATCGCTATCATTTGATGATTAGTTGATGGGTGACTTACTCTTTGCAAATTAGTTATGGGAGTCTTGATTCTTATTGTTCTCTTTATTTAAAGCATCAGAGAGGTTATAAAAACATTTGCCAGGATTTGAATGAATTTTTTTGGGGTGTGGATTTAGATAATAGAAAACTAATATAGATTAAAAAATAAAATGATTAAACGTCAAATAAGGGCACATGATTCCCAACTAGTTAAATATAAATTAATAAAAACTATATGGCATGTGTCATGCTTCCATTGCTTTATGAGGAGGTGTAAATCACAATATGAAGTAGAAATGCAGACTTTTCAAAGCATAGCTTTCAATACAAAAGAGAATCAACCCGAAATTTGTCTTCCAAATTATGACATGTTTTAACTAAAATTAGGCACCATTTCCAACAAAGTTTCACATGGAACTTGGTGAATTTTTCTTTCGATTTCGAAAAGTAAGATATATACGATTAAGAAAAACTTATTATTAAAACTTAAAATCACAAGTGGTAGAAAGAGACCAATTAAACAACAGTGGTATTAACATTTTTTTTGATAAATTAGACTTGATCCTAGTGTCATGTGTCTTTTGATTTTGGTCAGCTTTTGGTGGTAATTAAATTTGAGAACTCTTAAATTGAAGTGTTGGCCCGTTAAGCCGATTAATGCATTGGGGCATTATTGTGATTGTCTTGACATACCATATAAAAAAAATCGTAAAGAACAGAAACAGTTGTTAAAATAGCGCAGAAGTATTTCATCGAGATTAGAGAAGGACAAAAGATGTTAGAATAACAATATTTCTTGATCGTAAATCCATCTTGTTTACTGGTAGTCCATTTGGTTTGCATTCTGTACAAGGCATGCCAAATTCATACACTTTAAAATCTTATCTAAAAAGGTAAAATTAGAAACAGGACAAATATGTGTAAAGACATGAAAATGTATTTAAAATTTTATATAATATTTTTAATCATTCTATTAAAAATAATATTAATTTATAGCTGAAATCGTCTTTAATAATATAATTTTTCGGTAAAATAAGGTTTTAAATACATTTTCCAATATTATAAAAGTATTACAACACCCATACTTATTAGCCATAACTCATAAGGGCACAAGATCACCTCCAAGAGCATTCTATTTTTCATTTTAATTGTTTAATTTAGGGTTAAACTCTACATACTAATTTTTAATTCTTATCATACTCCTTAATCATTACATTCATTTTTTCATTAAATAACCATAATTATTACATAATAATATTACATTTTTAGTTATAATTATCAAATAATTCATTCTCACTCATTTCATTCTTTTAAATTATAATATACTTTATTTTAATATAGGTTAGGTTATTTTATTTATGTATAATAATTGTTATTTTTATAATTTATTTATTTATGTTTGTTTGTGTGATTTGACAAATATTTTAATTGTTTTGACGTTTTATTTGAGAACATATTTGATGTAGCAATACAATTAAACAAACACCAAATAAATAAACTTTTATATATATATATATATATATATATATATATATATATATATATATATATATATATATATATATATATATATTTTGAACAACAAGCAAATATATTAACAAAAAATTACTAAAACGAGAAGCTCAAGTCAACTAAAAAGAAAGTTCGACTTAGGAGACATACACCAAACAAACCAATTAAGATTATAAAATTTGGACCTATTTTTGATTTGGTTAAAGGTGTAACGCTTGATTTTTTGTACGCATTTTAATTATAATCTATTTATTTTTGTAGAGCAACTCGATGACTTGGGAGCCCCAAACTCGTCGAGTAGAGACAAGAAGTGACGTGGGTTTTAAGTAACATACTCGACGAGTTGAGAGCCCAAAACTCAAAGAGTAGGGCTACCAGAATGAAACCCTAATTTCGGGGTTTTGCACCCTATTTAAGCATCTTAATCCCCATATGCTGGCCTCACTTCTAGCCTCCAAGTCGCAAACCCTAGATTCTGAAACCCTAATGCATTTGTGAGCTTATGAGCCATTTTTGAGTGAAACCTTATGTGTGTTGAAACTTGTCAAGGAAGGAGAAGCTTGAGGATTCAAGGAGAAGCTAGTAGATCCATAGAATCCATTTCATTCTCATCATTTTCTTGTAAGCAAGTCTCAAACTTGCTTAGTAACTTCTTAGATCTATTTATTGTTTTTTTTATTGGGTTTTTGGTCCAAGAAGCTTGATCTTTGGGATATGGACGTCCCAAGTGAGTGTACCATTAGATATGGAACCATGGAGGGCCTTCATGGCATAAATGTGCAAACTTTATGGCCATTAAAGCTCCATGCAAGCTATAGGATGTCATCTTGGCCTTTTAAGCTCCAAAAGGCCATGCATGGAGGGAAAGGTGGAAGCCTTACGTGTACATCTAGTGTCTAGGGTCCAGATCTCAGTTTATAATTTATTTGTGATTTATTAATATATTATAAGTATAATATATTAATTGAGAAATCATATTATTTGATTGGTATTGATTAATAATTAATTTTGAATTAATTTAGTGATCAAAAGAGACTAATTAATTTAACGGAGACTAATTATGTAAATAAGTGATACATATAGTTTGAGCTAATGATCCATGATTGATTAGTAATGAACTAAGCTTATGTGAGAGTTCATGAAGTGTTAGTACAAATGAGTTATGGGATTAAAAGCCTAAGTGAATGAATTAGGGTTTACAAGCAAGCCTTGGAATTTTACACTATAAATGTAACCCCTATGCCCTAAAATCGACACACAAGAGTATTCTAAGAAGAAGCTAGACGGTTTTGGTGCCTCCAAGCTCTCACTCATTATCCTCTTTTGTTCTTGGTGTTTGTGACTTATTTGAGGCATCACATTTGAGATGCTAGGCTTTTTTAAGGTCAAGTTCTACAAGCTACACCAAAATTGTAATCATCTAACTTGTTTTATGTTTCAATTATCAAATTTGTATGCTAGTTAGGCTTCATGCTTTGGTAAAATGAAATTGCAAGTATAACTTGAGAAAACTTAGATCTAAAGCATCTAGGGTTGTATGTGCACCATAGGAATGTTATACTGCTCAAAACCCAACAAAACCCTTACCAGATGGCGCTCGGAATCTATCATGGCCCCATTAGCCCATAGCCAGTCCATCTCGACGATCATCTTCAGCCCTCGCAATGGTATCAGGACTAGATCAACATGAAACCTCTCCCCAAGCACAATTAGGACACAATCATGTTGGGTACAAAATTATCCATGTATGACTTTGTAAATGGTTTTACTTTTGTAGACCCACTTGTGTGTGGTATATTAGCCTTGTGAAATGAGAGACAGAGAGGGAGAGAGAGAGAGAGAGTCTCTATGGAGCATTTATGGTGAGTCTTTCTATGATCTCTCTAAATCTCGTTGATTTGTGCGTTTGCATTTTTCAATTTTGATCGTTTTGTTACGTTGGATCCATATTGTTCCAAACCCCATTTTTGATCCAACATAATTTTGTAACGACGTGAATTTTCAAAACAATTTTTAATTTTTAATCATATAATCTTCATAACATATTTCAAAAAAAATCATTCATTTAGTTACATAACATAACTCTGAGTTTAATCAGTTAATAATCCAGGATCCTCGAAACATAATTCTTTCTCTGTTGTGTAAAATCAAGACGGTGCACAATACAACGCACAAGTAATTAGTTACTCAAGGCTATAGCTCTATAAGAACTTCTGGTCAATGTGTCTCAGTGGAACCCTCCAGACCCATAGCTCGTTGGACCCTCTGGTCTGGTCATAGCTCGTTGGACCTTCTGGTCTGGTTCGTTGGACCCTTCGGTCCAGTCTAGTTGAGAGCCTTCAGGCCTCATAGTTCGTTGGACCCTCCGGTCCGATCTATATAGCACATAGCATAAAATCACACAGACAAAATGCATAACTCAAGCAAGCACACAAGACCCTTTGGTCACACATAATTACCACTATAAGTAAAGTATAGTGAGAAGACTCACCTGTTGGCTAGTAAGTAATAGACAACACTTGAAAAACCTGGACTAGCCCCCGCCTACACATTAGACAAGCATCTCTATCATTATTCGCCTTATTACTTATTTACTACTTAAGTCCTCTTTTCCCCTTTTTACCCCCGGGATGAGTAAAAGTCTATTTTACCCCTCCTTGGTCCCTCCTACCCCTTATTGACTCACCCAGTAAGTCAACAGAAAGCCAGACTAAGTCAACAGCTAAGAT